AGCCATGTAGCCCAGGGCTGTCTCACCCTCATAAGAGATCATCTCGTACTCCTTGACAATCCGCTCTGTCTCCTTCGTTTCGAACTTCTCGACAGCCTTGCTCACAGCATCAGAGAGTATAGTCTGGCCCGCCACATCATAGTCACGCAGCGTATCCTTCCCCTCAGCATCATCGATAATCTTCTCCGCCGCGGCAGGGTCATCAATATCATCGCTGGAAGAATCCGACGTTCCACTGTCGAGAGCCTCCCTAACATCAGCACGCAGGGCGATCTTGGCGTCGCTGAGATGATGGTTGGTTTCAGCCTTTCGCTGGAACCGCATCTGGCGTGTCAAGCTAGCGGCTGTCAGCGACATTTCTAGTTGTCAGGCACGGAAACATACGTTGTGTAATGAGTAGCTGGCAACCTTCGCCTAGCCTTGTGCAAGACATGAGAGTGGACAGCTTGGCTATAACGAGGCAGGGTAGAACGGCTGCCGTACGCCCACTTGGCCTTGTGGTCGTGAGCCCTTTTGGCCTCAACGCCAGCACGACGGATATCAAGCAAGGAGTCAGACATGACTGGAGAGGACGGTTTGGTGTCGACGGATGCGGGAGAAGATAGTCTCAGATATATACAGGAGATAGGTAAACAACACTCGGGGTGATGGGTGGCGCTTGCCTCTGTTATTGAGGGATGTCTGGAACAGGAGAATATAAAGCCAGGAAATTGAGGCGAGAGCGGTGGACAAAAGACTGAATACTAAGGCAGGCCCGCGAACCAAAAATCTCCGATAAACAATAAACAAGAGAGGTTACAGGGCGTCTTTGGTCTGAGTCATAAAGAGGCCCCGGCTAGGCTTCCAGTCATTGACGACCCGAGGATGTCGAGCGGCAAATATGCACAGTAGACTGCTCACAACGATGTGGAATGAGTAATGAAGAGATCTAACAAGGAGACCCTTCTCTGAGTAAGTCGAGAAGAGGACAGAAAAGAGGCAACAAAGTGACACCTTGGGGGTGAGCTCGTCATCCAGGGGAAGATATAACTACTACTATCTCCAACCGCACGCGCTCCGAGGGGGGAAGACTAAATAGGCAGCACGGGGTCCGCGCGAGGCGATGCTGATTATGGCAGGTCATCTGTTGGGAATCATCTATCGTCATCGTAGCCTGTAACCTGTGGCCTACTAGCTATTAACTAATCCAAGGAAGAAAGACTATCTCTACTATCGGAGGGGGTGGGAAATCAGCTATCAATCCGGCGCGGCAGTTACTAGACTATTCCCCCCTGGATTGTTATCGTTGCTGCTGCTGCTGCTGCTGCCGATCCCCCGAGCGCCACTTCTCGACCCACGGTTTAGCGCCCCCTCACTCTGCTTTCTCACTAAGTAGACTAGTTCAGTTGATTCCCGAGGTTAAACGCGCACGATACCAGAATTCCAGCCTCTGGGAAAGTTGGAACTTGCCGGTTGATTCATTTTCCAAGGCTGAATGGGAAAGGAAGATCCCTCCAACAATAGGGCCAACTGCATGAGATGTGATCCACTGCCTCAGGCACGTTGTGGTCGATCTGGAACGTCACTTGTCAAGGATGGCACGGTAATTGATTGCATGCTGAATGGATCGGTTCCTCTGGATCGGAGTCTCTGTCTGGGACAAGGAAAATGCCGCCGTAAATCAAACCCTGCATCTGCCAATCGCCTCTGCTCGTGGTTACCCGTGACGTTCCTGTTATCGCTGGGCTTGTCCTGCTGAGCGGGTGATCCCATGCTCCGAAGCCATCTGCGATCTGACCGTAGTTAGGGCGGGCAGCTGACTTGATGGCTGCGCCAGTCACTTGCGATGGATGTAATGTGATGTATGCAGCTTAGTCAATAAGATTGTGACATCAGCTGGAATGTTGTTTGCTTGCTGATGGACTGATTAGACGGATGTACAAAAGGAATACTAGTAGTTGGCTTGGCTCGTATTGTTGAGCGTGATGATTATTGTGCATTGTGTTAGGTAATTATCTCCTTTGTGCCAGTATTCAACTTCCGTCTATGCTATGCATAATACTGGCAACTGTCTACAGGTGATAATGCACCTCTACAGAGTACGTAGTAGATGTCGTAATACCATCCTGCTAAGGCATACTCAATATGAGACACAGCCTCGAGATCTAGACTGCCACTACCCCACTCTCAGCCTGGCAGTAACAAATTGAGTCATACCATGGCGTCTAGAGCAGATCCCAAAACATTCCCCGACTTCTATGACACTTACCTACCGCAGACAGACACACCAAAGTAACCTACCAAGGAATACTATGCTTTCCTAGTAGTCCACAGCCTTGTGGATTGATGGTCTTATAAAAGTCACTTGGCATGTGTCATAATCCAGTGTTATGTTGGACAAACTGCAAGTTGAGGCAGTATCATTATGATTCATACTCTCGCAGTTATTGGCTGGGCTATCTTCCTGATAATCTCAACATGCATTAGGGGCGGCTAGGTAGGCTTACAGAGTAAAGCACCAATATAGCCGAGGTATATCGTCAGATCACGTCTTTTCAACTTTCATCTTTTAGTACACACCAAGCACAATTACTTCAGACATGAATCGAAATCAAGCTTCTACACGAAGTACCGTAGATATCAATCATAGTGAACGAAACCATGTAATTTTCCAGCAGAACACCACCATGCATGCAATCCATATTACTATCCATCCAGCGTCCAGCACCAGATGCCAGTCCCAAAATACAAAGCACCACCATACCATAATACAAATAACTACTCATCCATCTGCCACTGATAATCCAGCGCCTCCAACCTCCCCTTCCGATTCCTAGCCAAGAACCACTCCTTCTCAAACCCATTTCCCCGATCCACCCCATCCCACCGATGTCCAGGACGAATACCATACCGATTCGGCGCAAACCCCCCCTTATACAACGGCTTGCCCGTCCGACTCGTCCCTCCCTCCTTAACACTAGTCAAGAACTGCGCCGCCGGATCATTCCACCTCAACTTCCCCTTCAACTCATCATTCAGCTCTTCATCCTCCGCCGTCCTCGCCAACGGCATAGCCCTCACATCCCTCAACTGCTGCTTCCTCTCCTCCCTCTCCCTCCTCTGCACATCACCCATCAGCGCCTCCTTGGCCTCCTCCTCCTTAGCCTTCTTCTCCTCCTCCGCCCGTCTCGCCTCCGCCCTCTTCAACGCCACATTAATAATCCGTCCACTCGCATCACGATAAATCGTCTCCTGCGCTTTCTCCCCCAACGCTGACTCCTTATACTTCGCCGCGTCCGCCTTCTTCTTCCTCTCCTGCGCAGCGACCATCGCCGCCGTCTGCGCCGCCGTCTGTAATCCCGCCCGCGCCCCGGACTCCATCTTCACCCCTCCTTCATCAGCATCATCTTCCTCCATTCCCTCCACAACCGGCGCATCATCATCCCCCTCATCACCACCCCCTTGTTCACGCCGCCGTTCCTCCCTCTCCGCTATCGCATCCGCTAATATCTTATCCGCCGCGTCTTGCTCCGTACCCGGCGTAAGAGTCTTCCACCCGGAGGTCTTCTTCCGTCGGAACTCGCCCGTCCGAGCACCACTGACTATTGACGGCGCGTCCTCGTCATCATTAAGGAGATTGTTGCCCGCGGAGCGGAGATCAGGCGGGTCGTCGTCGGCGATGATGAGTCCGGTGGGTGTGGAGTCGGTGGTTTTGGAGCTGTTCTTCTTGCGTTTCTTTTTAGGACGGTCGGGCGCGGGGTCCGCGTTTAGGTAGTTTTTCGCGAGGTATTCTGCTAGGGAGGACATTTTGTAGTATGTATGTAAATTTGGGTGGGTGGTAGGTAGGTAGGTAAGTGAGGAAGTAGTGTAGTAGTATGTAAGTGAAGAGTCGGCTGGAGAGCACATCTGTATCTGATAATCGGACGAGGGATTTTCCGGGTTAAGCTACTTACCCCAGTGATGTAGTTTATGCCTTAGGCAGTAACATATACCGTCTACATCCACTCTCACTTCATACCTATATACATACACACCATACCTATATACCCCATAATATAAAGAAATGAAATAGCAAAATGCCCCGCACCGACGAAGCCGACCACTTCATCAACGCCGTCTACTCCGCCGTACAAGAGATTCCTCGCGGAAGAGTAACAACATACGGCCATATCGCGACGTTATTAGGATATCGTATGTACCCCCATACCCACCTTTCAATCCCACATCCCCATCCCACCATTCAGTAACCCTACATATCAACGATATGATAATGACAATGGGATTAGCAAAACGCCCCCGCCAAGTAGGAATCAGCCTGAAACATCTCCCCGCCGCAGAAACAGACAACTACTTCCATTCGGGGAATGTGCCCTGGCAGAGGGTTATTAATGCAAGGGGGATGATTTCGCATCGGTTTGTCGTACCCTTATTCTTCTTATTCTTTGACATTTTTTGGGAGCAGGGGTGGTGGCGATGCTGATATGTGTACTGTACTGCAGGGAACCAGGGAGTGCGGAGCGACAGGCGGAAGCGTTACGGGGGGAAGGGGTGGAGGTGGAGGAGGATAGTATGGGGGAGTGGTATGTGGATTTTGGACGGTATGGGTGGTTTCCGGATGTTTTGCCTAGTGAGGATAGTGATGATGGTGATCATCATGATGATGGGGAGGAGGGTATAGATCGATAATAGAAGTTAGTGTGGCTACGAAGTTGACTATTCCGATGGTATAATATCAGTAGAACAATGAATCCCATTCATGCACACAGTATCTACAGTTCCCCTCGGATAGATCCCATTTTCGGCCCATGCTTCCCCCCATCAGATCAGCAGTGGGAGCATGTATCAAACATGGCACCAGACACGGACAAGGAAATAAGTAGGATAGGATGGTAAGCTCGCGACTCTATAAGTGGAAAGTTGAGAGAGAAATCGGACAGAAGGAAAAGAAAGGGGTCGGGGAGGGCAGTGCGCATGCAAGCATCATGTTCAAGGCAATCATAAACATCCAGTGAACGGGCCAACGCAGCCAAAAAGAAATGGTAGTAGAGTATAAAGAGGTCCGCCGCACGGTAACAGAAACAAGGAAACTCGTCACCCGACTCGGCTGACGCTTGTGGTCAGGAGTCCTCATGCCTAAATGTACTTTTGTTTATCTCCGTTTCACTTCCATCGCCCATCCGTCAATGCCCTCGCCGCGGCTGCCGGGCGTTATGCCCAGATCAATCCCGTCCATACCGGGTGTATCCCGCATCCATTCGTGGGATGCCATGCCGCCGGCATTGGCGCGCCGCTCCGGGGACACTTCGAGCATTGGCAGCAGGAACTCGCTGATGCGCATGCTTTCCTCGACCGAGAAATGATACTTCTCCCGCAGCACATCCGGCAGGGCCCAGTGGCGTAACCGGTGGATGTTGCGCAGTTCGCCTTTGCGGTTGAAAATCTCCTGCGACCACTTGCCCGAGAGACAGAGAGACTTCGGGAACGGTCCCAGAAGCTCAATGATCTGCGCGATATGATCGTCGTCTTTACCATACTTGGTACCTGATTGCGGATCGAAAAGATAATCGCCCGTGATGAGTTCGAATACCTGCAGGAATTGGTTAGATTCTAGTCGACTGACGGGTCTATCGGACATACCATGCAAGCCATACTCCAAATATCTGTGCTCGCGCCCCATTTCGAGCCCAGGATAACTTCGGGCGAACGGTACTGTCGCGTTTGGATGTCGTTGGTGAAATGATGGCCGACCCAGCAGGCATTGCCCAAATCGGCGATTTTCACGGAGATTATATCACATTCCGGCTCTTGCTCTTCGCTCGACTGAGACTTGTCGAGCGAAATGCCCGATACCTCCCGTTCCAGCAAATCACTGTAATCATTAGCCATATCCCTCAGGCAAGAGAAGATAACATACGCAGTCTTTTCCCGTTGCTTCTGCTTCTCATCATCGTCCTTGATTCCGAGCATCTCCTTCATCGATGTACTTTCTGCATTGGGAGTCACTAGACCAGTCAGCAATTTGGTAGCAATGATGAGGCGACGGTACATACCAGACGACTCGCTGACCATCTGACTAAGACTGCTGTGGGAGTTTTGCGAACTGTGCTTAAAGTCGAAGCTGGTATTGAGCGGACTCGGCAGCGGTTGACTCCCAGTGATCAGGGTCCGGCGCCGTCGCCGACCATTGCGATTGTCTTCCTTCTGCTCCTTCTTCGCCTCTTCCTTGACGTATGTCTTCACGATCTGCTCCACGTCGCCGATCTCGATCAGCACGTTCTCCGGCTTCAGATCCGTGTGGATGATACCACACTCCCGATGAAGGTAGTCCAATCCAAGCAGCACTTGTTTTGTGATCTGTTTCACCAAGGCCATGGGGATACCGCGGTGGTTCCATCGCTTGATCAACCCGAGCAAATTTTCTCCCAGCACTTCAAACACCATACACACGTGGACCCCGTTGGGGCCCTTGTGCTCAAACGAGTCCAGCAGACTGACGACATGTTTGCGACCGGGGTGAGAGGGTTTGGCTTGGACGATGCGGTTCAACAGCTTGATTTCATCGATGGCGGTTTCGGTGTAGTGGGCAGCGGAACGGACGACCTTGAGGGCGACATGCTTCCCAGTTGTGGTATCGCGGGACAACCAGACAGTCGAAAAGTGACCCCACCCTAGCTTGCGCACGACCACATATCGACCATTGTTGTAGGTTTCACCGACGGAGACCGGGTGGTAACCACCCTTGCAGTAGTCTTCCGAGTCCTCTTCCTCGGCGGTGGTCTCGAGTTCTTCGCCAGAGGATGAAGAGGACGAGCGCGATGGTGGGACGCCGTATGCGGGAACCCTGCCACTCATGGCGGTTAGAAAGAATCAGGATGTGGCGGGGAAAACCAAAAGAAAGAGAAAGGCGGGAGGAAGGGAGCAAAGAAAACACGGGCAAGCAGGGAAAAGGAATCTAGAAAAAGAAAGAAAGGGTAAAAGCCATACCCCTCAGTAGTGGTGGAGGATGTGGTGGTGGTGCTGGTGGTGGTCGCTGGGTCGACTCCAAGCGTGGCGGCTTCGTTGGTGACGATCGGCTTTAAGTCGGTCCCTTTTCTTCTCTTCTTACCGCCATTGCCATTGGTAGCGGAGGCAGCGACACTACTCGCCATTTGCTTCCCTTTATTGAGAACGGCCTTGGTGATATCAACCCCATCCATGATGCCAAAGAATTGCGACCGATCGGATCGGAAAGTAAGTTGGGGTGGTCAAAAAAGGGAGATGCAGAGCAGAAGGAGTGGATGGCGGGCGTCTCGTAGCGACAGGATTCAGCTGGAGTAAGTAAATGCAGTTGGTGGTGGTGGTGGTGGTGGTGGTGGCCGGCGGCGGCGACAGCGGAGGAGAAGGCGGGTTGGCGCTGGACTTGGTTTGGTTTGGCCGGCTTTTGGTTGTGCGAATCTGAGGGGTTGGTTTGGGTTCAGCAGCGCCCACAAAAACGCCAATGCCAGAAGCAGCAGACACTCACTTACCTGAGGAGGGGAATCGGGGATAAGAGTATAGGAGATTGTGCACCGGGAGGATGGTGGTGGTGTTCACAATCGAGTAATTTCAAAGAATGGCCAACATGGACTCCAGAACATGGAAATCAAAGCCTAATACTACTATGAAACCAGTGCAGATGACTGGGGCTGGGCGGATGACGCAAACGATATAGACGGGGCGATTGAACACGATGGACGGAGCAGGAGGAGCAATGCAACGAGGGGCTGATCACTACTCGTAGATCCGGTAAATCTCACAGCCCTTGAATTTCACCCAGTTGGAAGTCCAAAGGGGGGAAGAGGAAAGGACCACAGGAATGGATAGAAGGGACGTGAAAGATCGATGATGGAGATCGACAAGGAATGTCCGCAAGCGTAGATGAAGAGAAGAAGAAGAAGACGAAGAAGAGTTAGTTGTTGACCACCCACGCATGTGGCAAATCATGAATGGGCTATGGATCGATTCACCCGGTTGGGCCTGAGTAAAGTCTTCAGGCTCAAGCATATACATCGGTCAACGTTGGGGGACCTCATGCTTTTCGGAGAGATGCTCTTTGGGCTGAACAATGGACTTGAACCGTTGAAAGGGACAAAACAGTGTCGTCCGAGGGATAGATGGATGGAGGGCAAGGAGGAGAGGTTTCATTGTCCGTCTACATCCCCCAGCCAGGGCTACGGTGTAATAAACGGGTACGGAAACAGAGACAAGACACTACTACTACTATAACCCGCACTTCGTCCTACATGGATTCAGGCACCTTATGACACTGTCAAATATGAAATAGTATGCGCGTGGCATGGATGCGATCGAGGGAAAAACGTGGAGCAGCAGTCTGGGGGAATTTACCGATGCTGGGAAGGGATAGCGACCGGCATGAGACACGAGCGAGAGGCAAAGTACAATCAATCAATCAATCAATCCTCTCTGACTGACTGGAGTGGGACACAGGATCTAGACTTGATGTCACTTTCACGGCCCAGTGGATAAGCGTCCGATCGCCTTGCTCCAGCCGAGTCCCGGAGGAGGAAAGACAGGAAGATGCGAGACTACTTGCTTAGTGTCCGTCTTGTCCAGCTTTCTTTTGCGGAGTCGATGATTCATTTTGCTGGCTCTGTCTTTTTCTGTTCCCCCTCCATCGTGCACGTGATGTCCCCTTGCGCCTGACTTTCAAACCATCCGACTCGATGGACTGAAACTGATTCAGGAAACATCCATAATAACATCCTCCCTGTGGTACTACAAAACGAGACTAAGACTTGTATACTACTTACCGTCTGAGACACTGATAACGCGTCACCATTGGAACCATATCTTACTCCATATTTCTTGTAGGAAATTCGATAAGACAAGACATTATTATTAAACGATACTATTGCAGGAACCATCCCATTACATTACTTCGTAACTTGTACCTGGAAACACCCACCACCACCCAATCGATCCCACGCAAATTGGCTGTACCAGTGCAAATGCTTCTGATTGGTGCCGGCAACTCCCCACCTCCGCCCAGCAGCGCATGAATCCACGTTAAGCTGCTTCAATCACCTGAACCTGAATGCCAACAACCACCACCACTACTACTAGTACTACTACTATGGAATAACCACATACTATTCCTCTCTCCTCTCCTCCTTCACCTATACTCCTCCCTCTCTCCTCCCTCCTAATATCAAAACAACTCCACCATGTCCACTCCCTTCCATCGCCGTCCTTTCCCCGACTACTTCCTCTCATCACCTCTAGCAACTCTCATCTATCCTCTCCATCAACTCCTCAACCACCTCCGCGGTCCTCCTCACCTCCCACCCCCAAACGCCCGTCCCATCCGCGTCGTCTGCATCTCCGACACCCACACCCTCGAATACCCCGACATCCCCGACGGCGACCTCCTCATCCACGCCGGCGACCTCTGCAACGATGGCAGCGCCCGCGAAATTCAAGCCGCCGTGAACTGGCTGCGCAGTCTGCCTCACCCGCATAAAGTCGTCATCTGCGGCAACCACGACAGCTACTTCGACCCGCGATCGCGTCTCCCCGAAGACCGCAACGATGCCTCACCTCAAAACACCTCCTCCTCCTCCTCCACATACGCCACCATCTCCTCTTCAACTGCCTCCCTCCGCTCCCTAGACGACTACCTAACTGACGACCCTCATCCCCGCATCGACTGGGGCGACAACGACGACATCCACTACCTCCAACACTCCTCCATCACCCTCACCTTCCCACCTACCACCTCTACCTCAAGCATAACAAGCACCACCCCCCTCCGCCCCCGCACCCTAACCATCTACGGCGCGCCCCAAATCCCCGCCATCGTGCCCTTCGGCCCCGAACACGCCTTCACCTACCCCCCACACCACGACGCCTGGTCCAACACCATCCCTCTCTCCACCGACATCCTCGTCACCCATACACCCCCACAATCACGCCTCGACCTCTCCCCCGTCTACTCCGCCGGCTGCCCCTTCCTCCTCTCCGAGCTTTGGCGCGTACGCCCCGCCCTGCACGTCTTCGGCCACGTGCACGCCGCGTACGGCATCGAGCGCGTCTTCTACGATGAGGCCCAGCGCGCGTGGGAGCGACTCTGCGCGTCGAGGAAATCCCGCGCCCGTCTGTCGAGGTTCAGCTCCCTGTTCGGGTTCCTCCGGGATCTGTTCGATCTCTCGGGCTTGGTGGATTCGGCAAGAGTGGTGATGTATGGTGTTTTGGGGGTGGTTTGGGCCAGGGTCTGGGGTGGGGAGAATAGGGATGCGGGGTGGGTGGTTAATGCTGCGTGTATGTATAGGGATTCTGGGGTGTTGAGGAATAAGCCGCAGGTTGTGGTTTTGTAGGTTGGTTGGTCTATCACTGGTTTGAGTGGTTTGGTGGGTAATGGGATATGGTATTATTTTCCATATCGTTTTCTTTGTATATAAGGGAGAGTTCAGAGGGGATGGGATGGGGTATGTGGTTGCAGTGACTGATGAGGGTTGCAGGGGATGGTATTGTAAATAATTGCCGGATTAGGCTCGGCCAACTTAAGAGATTCATTCCAAGATGCTGGGTTCATGAATACGAATACTACTATGATTTCCATATGTAAACAAACCCAAAAATGTACAGTCTTGTTTATAGGCTAAAACGGGGGGTATATAGTATATACACAAAATGCAGTGATGTATATGTATCAAATCTGCAATGAAAAAAAAAAAAAAAAAAAAAAAAAACTCGAAAACACAAATGCTCTATTCAAAAATCACAGCTTCGCCTTCTCGCTGAACCGAGGCGCCTGGAGAGGATCATAAGCACCCGAGGTGAGAGTATCCGACGGCACAGTGGCATGATGACCGCCCACCAGGCCCCGCACGTCAATCAGACTCGGGTTCAATTCGTCGATCTTGGTGGCGCCGATCAGACGCATGTTCATCTCCATCTCGTCCTTGAGGAGCTGCATGGCGCGTTCCACGCCGGGCTGGCCGTACGCCGACATGGCGTACAGGAAGGGACGGCCGATACCCACGCCCTTGGCGCCGAGGCAGAGGGCCTTCAGCATGTCGGTGGCACGACGGATCCCGCCGTCGATGTAGATCTCGATCTTGTTCTCCCAGCCACGCTCGCGGAGGATGGGCATGACCTCGGCGAGGACTTCGATGGCGGAGCGGGCAAACTCGAGCTGGCGACCGCCGTGGTTGGAGAGGACGACACCCTGCACGCCCATCTCGACGGCGCGGAGGACGTCCTCGACGCACTGGACACCCTTGAGGAGGATGGGCATCTTCGTGATGGATTGGAACCAGGGGATGTCCTTCCAGGACAGAGCGGGGTCGATGAAGGAGGAGATGGCGCGGGCGGCGCCCTGGGAGCGGTCGACGGAGCTACCGCCGCTGGCCTGCACGTTGGAGCCGACGTCGGAGAACTTGGAGCGCATGTCCTTCTCACGACGGCCGAGTTGGGGAGCATCGACGGTGATGAAGAGACCCTTGCACCCGCGGGCTTCGGCGTGCTGGACAATGCGCTTGGTGATGCTGCGGTCCTTGTTCACGTAGAGCTGGAGCCATTGGACCTGGTCGCCCTGGCGGGCATCGACGATCTCGTCGAAGGAGCAGGAGGCCAATGTGGGAATCATCTGAATGACATCGTGGGAGTGTGCGGCACGGGTGAGGACGACTTCACCCTCTGGGTTGCCCAGCTTTCCGAGGGCGGTTGCGGTCACGTAGAAAGGCACTGATACCTTGGTGCCGAGCATGGTTGTGGAGAAATCGACGTGCTCGACGTCAACGAGAACTCGGGGGCGGAACCAAATCTTGTGGAAGGCAGAGTGGTTTTCCCGCATAGTCTGGATAGGCTTGTGGTTAGCATATGCTGATGGAGAACGAATGAGACATGACCTACAATTTCGTCGTCTGCACCGCTGGAGTAGTAGGCCCATGCGGTCTTCTTCATCACGCTGCGGGCAACGGTCTCGAAGTCCATCAGGTTGTAGCAAGCCGCCAAGGAAGGCATGCACTTGATGCGCTCCTGGCGCGCCTCTTCCTCGGGATCGGCAGTCTTCTCCTCTTGTTCAACGGTGGTCATGTCAACTTCACCGAGATGCTTGGAAGAATCGAGGTATTTGTCGAGGGTGTCGGGCGGGTGGATGGGGTCAAACTCCTCGGTCGCATCCTTGCCGGCATACTTGAGGATGATCTTTTGGCCACCCGGGTGCTCTGGATGATGTCAGTAACAGAAATATATAGTAGTAGTGAGGACTATATACATACCTGGAAGAAATTCGGTCACATCGTAGGCCTTTCCATGGACAATGACCCAGCACGAGTCCTTGGAGTTGTGTTCGGCGACAGCAGCGCCTGTGAGCTTGCCTTTACTCATAGTGGCGTGGTAGGGTGGGATGGAGGTGATCGGAGAGGCAGAAGATTGAGAAGAGGAGGAGAGAAAGGGTGAAAACAAGAACTGCACGGAAGAAGGAGAGGAGATCGGAGATGTATATGAAGGAAAAGACGTATCGCCCGAGAAAGCAAGAGAGAGAGAGAGAGAGTAGGAGGAAAGATGAATTAATTGTTGGAAATGCAACCAAACCAGACCTCGGGTTAATGGGGAGCGAAAGCCTATGGAGCGGCGGGCACAGAAAATCGGCAGGCGGTCGTTGGTCGATCGCGTTAAGCTCAAGAAGGCGGGGGGAACCAGAACCATTCAATCCCTTTGCTTCGGGTGACTGCGCGCTTTTTCTCGGCCGACTGCTTTCGGTCAGGGACCACCTCGGCTGTTTGGCAACCTTTATCTACGCTGGCCATCATGTCGGCAGTTCGGAGATTTTGACGAACCGTATGAATCAATCAATTTTTGGTTTGCGTGTGAGCGATTTGTTCGATCAGGGTGATATGTTGGTCAGACATGACGCTCGAGTGCAAGATATGCACAACCTAGGGAATCGAGCCTAGCGCAGTTTAGAGGCAACGGCGGCTTCTGCTACTAGTATTTACAGCATTAATAATACGATGATCTTGATGGCGTTCAGAATATTAGTTCAAATCGCGCTTATCTGGACCTTAATATATTAATATTCAAAGAGGACCTTCAGGCAGGACAAGATTGTACAACGGTCACGCATATAACATTATGATTAGATAGTACGGCAACCTGAACCATTAGCTGAGAATTGCATGTGGACAACTGGGTACTTTGCTGGCTGCATGCATACAGCATCATGTTCATCCTGTTGGGACTTATCTCTTGTTAGGAGCCCTTCATTGTACACCAGTCACCAAAATGTAGATAAATCACATAATTGCACTAAATTCGTCCATGTTAAGTATCAACCATCATGCCATCTACTATATCTCGCCAGCCAAATTTCAAATACAAACGGAGGGTGCCAGCACCTTTTATCATCCAGAATCAATCAAAGAACAACCAAGCGATGCTCAACACGCTGCAATCATCCAAGTCACATGCACACAACCCATGCAAATGCCCAGCATAAATGCCAAGCATGAAAAAAATAGCAGCAAAAAAACGCACAATGCAAGCAAACAACGCCGCCAAGCTTCATAATGCAGTCAGTCAGTCATCATCGTGGAAGTCAAATGCAGAACAAATAAGAGACCGAAACATTCATCGTCATCACATCATCAGAACCAGCAGGAGATGGTAGCTCAGCAACACTGTCCTCCTTTGCGCTTAGGACCCTCCACAATATCTTCTAATTCATCCCCAACACTACTGGGCGGAAATCCCAACCAGCTGCGGCGTTTGTCCCCGTACCCCAGGCGGAAGCTCCCATTTCCATCGGTATTTCCAGGGGCCAGGGAGGATGTTGTCCCATCAAACACTGTCGAAGATCGCTGTGATGAACTTGTTCCCGCTTCCCGTTTATTGCGCTGCTCGACCAGCTTCCGCGTTATGACACGAAATACCTCCTCGATACCCTCACCATCCTTGGCGCTAATCTCATGGCAACAATCCCACCCGATATCCTGGCCCCAGAACGCACTACTGCGCTTGCTATCAACGCCTGCGAGTGTGCTCGATGAGTGCCCACCCAAGCCGGCCGTCGCGGGCGGCGTGGATGCTTGTGTTGGGTAGAGCTGCTCGGCGACGTAGGCGATTGTGCGTTCGAAGGGGACTTTTCGCCGAGAGGGATCAAGGGTAACAATATCGGTCTTTGTTCCGACAACGTGAATCACAATGGGGTCGTCTTCGACAAGGATTTTCTTCAATTCCGCGAGCCAGCCGGTCATTTCTTGGAAACTTTGCTCGTCGGTGATGTCGTAACAGAGAAGGCAGGCATTGGCGCCGCGGTAGTAGAGGCGAGAGATGCTGCGGAAACGTTCCTGGCCGGCTGTGTCCCAGATCTGGAGTCGAACGATGGTATCGGAGGCGCTGTCGAGAACGCGTTTGGTCACAAAGGAGGCGCCCACAGTCGAGGCTGTAGCGGAAGGGTTGAAATCGTTCTTGACATAGCGATCGACAAGCGAGGTTTTGCCGACGCCTGGACGGAGTTAGTCGGGTGGAGTCTGAGAGGAGAGAGGAGGGAGAAACTGACCTTGGGCGCCGAGGACAACAATTTTAGCCTCGAGAGAAGAGCTCATGGCGGGGTAGAGGCTAAGGTGGGGTACCCGGAGAGCTGGATTTGCATGTTCCAGCGGATAAATTATCGCTCGGACGGATGAGGAATTCAGGAGGCGTTGGGGACGGGACTGGGTGAACAAAAGGAAAGAAAGGTTTAGAACAAAGGCGAGGGAAGGGTTGGGGACGTGGGGAGAAAGACAAGAGGGAAGGAAGGGAAAAAGGGAGAGAGAGAGAGAGAGAGAAGGGCAGCGTTGAAAGAGCGAAAACAAGAAAAGGGAGGGCGCGGGAACGAGGCTCAAGGAAGAAACAAGTTAACCACAGCCATCCAGCCAAAGCGATGGATTCAAGCCGGCATGACAGGGCAGTGCGCGGATCAGCCGATCACTTACGAACCTCCACCCGATCAGGTGTTCGTCTTATTTGTTTGTCGAGTGAAAAGTCTTTGAGGGCTAGTGAGGAGAACAAGGACAGGTAGAGGGGATGGAAGAAGATGAAGGAGGAATCAAATCAGTCACCGATGAAGAATGATTCAGCCCCAGCTGAAGCATTTAGCATGATCCTTCTTGGCCCCTTACGTGCTTGCTGGACTAGCCCCATTGTTTCAGCCACAGACTCTATCAACAGGCTGAAAATCTTATAGCACTTAGTAGTACTTTGTATCTCGTGTTCGTGCTCTCTCACGGCAACCCCGGCTGTCAAGGTGTCAGCCATGCATTGCCTGGGAAGTTATGACAGGTTGGGTTGAAGCAGGTCTTCTGTCCACCGACGCAATATATTTTCCTTTCAGCCGCAAGTCCCAAGAGTCTGGGTCTGTTCAGGGCACAGGCCACTGGATGGTACCACCGTCCCTAAAGCATTGATAGTGCACAATGGTGGCTTCAGTATCTCTTTAGTTCGTCCTGCCTAAGTAATCAGCGACCGTGCACTTGGACCTCCGCTGACGGGCGGCACCTTGCAACTCGCAATATCCAGATGGACCCCGTGCGATGGTTCCGCTTCATATGGATTACATTTGATTGAATAAATTGAATGGCAGCAAATGAACTTGGTCGATTTGTCTGTCGCATGCTGGATATTTCTTACATGCACTGCTAACATCAGTCTGGATGGAAACATCGGGCGGGGCAATGAAATACCGAATAATATCATAAGCATATGGAGTCCTTTGCTTTGAGATTATTTCACTTGCCGGGTAATATAGAAAATCGACACAAGGATATAGTATAGAAACCTCAGGCTTGTGAGTTCTGGTCGCCAGTACTCGGATTAATACATAAGATGGCGTTAAGTATCTTGATACCTGACAAAGTATTTACAAAACAAACATAACATCTGTTACTATAAAATAAATGAGCTATATGTCCTCAGCTAGTATTCAGCTCCGTATATTGTTGTGTTGTGACGAAAGAAGAGTGGTGCCATAAGGTGTGCTTTGATACTAATATTGCCTGACCGGAAAAGCTCACAAAATCAACAGCACTACTGTATAGAGTACTTACTGTATCTATGTAATGTAAAAAACACTTCCATTCTTAACTCCGAGCATAGATAGAGTACTATTTGAGTATGTTCTGAATCGCTTTATGGCTCGTTAAATTCCTATATTAGGCAACCTCAATACCTCGCTGACCTAGGACCCACCTCTCGCAAAACAAAGCCAAATGGCAGTTAAGCTCAGTTGACCCGACTGATGCATAGGATCGCGCATCTAGTTCTGTAAGTATCTCCATTGGGCCGATCATTAATTGGCTAGTATCGGGCTTTTGCAATTCCATTTAAGACCATGGACAATGAAACGACCGAGGCTTATATAGTGTAGGAGAATTGATCCCCGCATGCATTGTTAACAACCCAGGGATACTAGCGCCAAGACAATCTCTCTAGAAGAATAATCCGATGGCTTTTCTTAGTTGATTCATGTTGGATTGAAAGGGTAGTGAGTATTTAATAATCGTAAGAGACCGATAATAAAGATATTCCAGTTGCTCCATGTTGAGACGGAGCCAATAATGCCGCTCCAATGCGGAAAATGTATCCCTCACAATACATTTAGTTATCATGTTGCCCAGCTAAGTAGAACCACAATGTGTTCTGGCTGAATTCCATACAATTGACATTAATTTGTTCCAGTCCCGCTATTACTTACTACTAATATTCTCTTCCAGTTATATATAAAGACAATAAATTAACTGAATGAGCTCGAAAGCTAAATACTCATAAATCAAAAAGCATGGACGTTGTCATACTGAATAACATCACATGCTCATGGTCGGGGTAAATAATCGCACGATAAGCAGTGTCACCACGCGACAATAGTATGTACCACAAACCATAAGTACTACGGCTGTACCCGGCCTGATTGAACATAGCTCTAGGGGATGATTGTCAACAATGCGAAGTGATTTCTTAGTATTTCGAAATTGGCTACTGCGTTGATTCTACACAAACCTGAGAGGGGTGTCTTATCCTGCTCGTGTGTAGATAGACGCTCGTATAGACGCTCGCATACTAGCACAGTTTAATATTTTTCCATGTTATAGGCCACGGTAGATATAGTGGACAATTCTGCAGACATAATTCCGTCCACTGCTGCATGGACGAATAGACGGATTGACAGGGATCATGTGGGGGGAAAATTGAATCTGATTGATTGATTGATACGCTTATGTGCTGAGACAGCTAGGTGCTGAGTTACGTACGTCAGTAAGCTTCTAGGTTAAGCTCTTCGCTACTACGCCGTAAGTGATAGATCATTTGCATGCATTCCTTCGGGCGGAAAGGGTGGTTTTCGAATCTGGGGTTGTCCTCTGAGTTGTAATTGCCTGAGGCGCAATCAGAACAGCCCAATGCGATATTCATCATCCCTCAGTCATGAGCAATGGCATATGGTAAAAGAAAAGAAAATAAAAGACAGTGGGGTAATTGATTGCTCGTCAATGAATTGACCCTGCAGCTGGTCGATGCTTGGTTGCTTGGCATATTCAGATCCTTGCCCTGTATGGCAATATTGTC